TTCTTAACACGGGCCCAGTGCCCAAGGCTTATATTCCAATATAAGTTTGAGGCCGGGGCCCTCACAGTCTACCCGGAAGCACAACCTCTGGTAGCATTACCCAGTTTCGCTTACGGGGGACAACCAAAATCACCCCGAGGGGGACACAACCCTTCATACCATTTACTGAAGGAGTCTACAGTCCTGTGGTGGGAACCCAACCCTAGCCTTCGACTGTCAGATCCTCTGCTGGACCCCCCTACAACTGGGGGGCGGAGCCTGGGCTCCTTGGTAATTCTTAACGCTCCCTCCTGACCCACAACCTCTTCATCTACTGCCTTCCTACTGCGGATAGGGAAACCGAGCGTCCAGGTTTTTACTCAACCTCGAACAACCGTTCGTCAAGAGAACTAGCAGGTGAATCACCCACAGGACCCCTGGTGCTACGCATGCAGAACCAGGGGTCATTTATCCACAAACCTTCACTGCCCTAACTCACAATCCAAAGTGATGAAAGGACTGGTGCAGCCACACCCAGACGGTCCAGGCCGCTGGGTTTCCGAAGACCCCGCCTCTGAAGGGTGGGTTTTCCACAGAAAGGTTATTAACAAACCGGGGGAGTGGAAATGGGAAGGGATGGGACGTCCCCATAAATCCCCCGCTAATATCACAACATCGTATCGTGGTGGGACAACGACTCGAAGTGTGGATGGTCCCCAGAAAGACAAGGCCGGCACTTCGTCCCAGGAATCATCCACAACAGCAACACCACCAACAGCAGCAGAGTCGTTACCAGAGGCAGCAGCAACAACAACACCCACAACCACAACCACAACCGCAACCACAACCGCACCCACAACCACAACCACAACCACACCCACAACCACAATTTCAGCCACAACCACACCCACAACCACAATTTCAGCCACAACCACACCCACAACCACAACCACCACCACAACCACAACCACAACCACAACCAACACAACCACCACAACCACCACCACAGCAGCAGCAGAACCAGCAACAGCGCCAGCAAAAGCAGCAACCCCACACCCAACATCCACAAAACGAGCAGCAACAGCCACGGAACCAGCAACAGCAGAGACAGCAACAGCAACAACAGCAACAGCAAAAGCAGCCACACCAACAGCAACCGCGACCGCAGCAACAACAGCATGTCCCGCAGCAAAACCGGCCGCAACAACAGCGCCAGCAGCTGCAGCTGCAACAGACCTCAAACCACGCTGCCATACCAGGATCACAAGAAACGACCAACAATGGAGAGAGGTACATCGTCCCCTCCTCTCCTAATCTGCGTATAGGGACCACACCGACGGCCTGGACATGGGACAAGGAAGAAACACAAACCAGAATCCTCGACAAATGGAAAGAAAAAATTGCGAAAAAAGTCTCCGGCTACGGCGGGGATGCTCAAAATGGTCCCCTCCGGCCTGATCACAGCGCCCAAGGGCCAGAGTCTGATATGGAAGGGGTGGAGAGAATAACAAAAGAGCCATCAGGTAGACTCCCGATGGACCAATCGGGCCCGCCCCCCCCGGGAGTCCCGGACACCATGGCCACAGTGAATCATCACTTGCTTCAGACAGTGGGGAACAATATTCAGAATACACAACCAACAGCGATGACAGTACACCTGCAAAACACGGTTTTTGGGGTACAAAACCACCGGTCGCTGGGAGACAACAGGCAAGGGGACTGCAACTATGCCCTGCACCCACAGATGGGGGCATTGCTACACACACATAATCATCAGCTGTTGCAGACCTCCCTGTCTCAGGAAATGGGGTACGGCATATGGACCCCCCCGCTCCCCCCCCTCCAGGAGATCGGGGAAGCGGCGACGGCCTATGCACAACCCCAGACCCCCCTGCTGCAGCAAAGTGAGGGGCAAGAACCCCCCCCCCCGGGTCTGGGAAATGAAGTGGAAATGGGAAAAGATCAGGAAGAAGAAGAGAAGATGGTGGTCCCGGGCATAGACGACCAACAAGGGAAGGGGGAAGACCGGGAGGATAATGAACAGGGGGCGAGAAACAAGCACCGACAACACCGTCTGTTGAAAGACAGAAAGGTGAAAGCGAGACTAAAGATGGTTACAGATGCCATCCTTATGGGCCTGTTGAGATCCACCAAACAGTCAGACCACTCCCGCATTCCTCCCCTCCACTGGGAGAACATAAGAAGGGCCTTTATGAATTCGAGGACAGTCACTAAGTTTCTGGACCAAGCCACCGACCCAGCATCCATAGATTGGAGAAAGGTGGCAGCCCTGATCATGGATGCAGTGCAGTCCATCATTATCAAAATACGAAGAGCCGACCCTGCAGAAGCCCACCCCGTGACGGACATCACCCTGGCAACTCTACCCCACGCTGACAATGGTCCGGCTGGCCTGCTCTTTGAGGGCATACAGTGGCTTGGACTTGTAATCCAAGAATTCGAGCTGGAGACAGCGGAGCTCAGACCAAAGACCGATGGCGCAATCATCCCAATAGACAGCCCCGGACCAGAGCAGCTAGTACCGCTGCACCTGCTGCGTCCGCTGCTTCACCTGCAAACCCTACAACCTGCTCCAGCCAAGGATGGCTCTAGCCACTGCGCGGGCCACAACCACCAACACAAGGATGGTGAGGACATTCGGGGGGCGAATGCCACAAACACTCACCCGTATGCAGAAACTGCAGCTGGAACGATAGATGAGACACAAACACCAGACTGGGAGGACCTGCCCTCTGATTCCGACTTAGAGGATGGATCTGAGTTTGAGTGGGACCTGGTGTTGCTCGCAGCCAGCCCTTGGCAACCACAGCCTCTGACAGGCAATCCTGCTGACGACTCTAATGTGAGGCCAAACACAGATCACAAAAACATAAATCGCCCACCACAAAGTCAGCAGCACCAAAAGCAACAACTGCTCGTCACAAGCCAAGAGGAACACAACACACTCAATACGGAGCTAGACTCAATAATTGGGGGGTCGGACAAGTGCAATGGGAAAAGGTACACATTTAGGGACGCATTGGTGAACCCAGACAGAAGGACACCAAGCAGCGGAGTGAAGCTAGGGGTGGTTATACTCCCAGCGAAGAGAACCCGCCCGGAAGGGGAATGGAAAATTGGACTTAGAACCAACTCCCCCCGGGTGCCCAACCTGGTTAACCGATCACTAAAAACCTCCCAGTACAGTCCCCCAAGCCTCACCCTGCAGGGATGGAGAGGCTCTACATCGCAGATAATGACCAGGCACATGCTCCGGAACCACCTCAGCCAGAATGGAGACCAGGGAGTAGTAGGGACAATATTCCCCACAGACCTCCCATTCCCGAAGGGAGCAACACCCATACTGGTCTTATTTACTGAAGACCAGCAGGAAACTCGACACCAATCGGACCACATCCACTGGCTCACACAAAAGGGGTTGCTGGACACATCGCCATCCCGTTGGAGAACAAACAACATATGGTCGGCAGCGGAACAGGCAGTATTCCTGCTCTGCCTGCTGGAGGAAGAAACGTTGGACAAACATAGGGTCTGGGACGACCCACCTTTCATTAACAGCATCGCCTGATGGAACCAGGAAGCTTACAGATAGTGCGGCACGCACAGGCAACACAACACCATCAAACTCCAGATCGGGACGGGGGACAAGAAGCACATTCGTAGAGACCATGCTGTCCGGAACCCCTTTGCCCTCCCCCTCCAATCAGAAAACAGCCTGAGTGGGCAAAAAAACTATCTTAGGCTGACCTGGACATAAGATCTATCAATGTCAATGGATTAGCACAACCCAATGAGCAAAAGAAAACGGCCATCTGGAAGATGATGCTGCAAGACATGGGGGGGAAATGGCTAGATGCTATTGGAGTACAGGAGACTCATCTGACCGATTCCCAGACCCACTTAGCAAGAGCCTGAAATGTCTGGCCATACACAACATTTATGGCCCCGACACGATCTTCAGCCTCCACCGGGGTGGCGATTTGGCTAGCCCCCTCGTCAAGATTGGTCCCGATACATGCAGACTGGGACAAAATAGACGAAAGGTGGGTTTGCCTGAAAGCGGCAATGGAGGCAGAGGAACTGTACTTGGTATGTGTTTACGCTCCGAACGATCTAGCACAACGAGTACAATTCTTTCTTGCTCTACAACGAACCTTGCCAACAGATGCCCCGATCATAATGTGTGGGGACTTTAACACCACCCTGGACCCCGGTGTAGATAGAAGATCATCATCATCGCAGCAATCACCAGGAGCGGGGGTGCAAAGAGAAAGGTCAATGGATAGCACAACGCTAGGCCAACTGATGATGGATATGGACCTCATAGATACCTACAGAGAGATGTATCCTAACAAAAGGACATATTCATGTGTCAGATCCCGGGGAGCGGCAGGAGTTTCCAACTCAAGGATTGATCTCTTTCTTCTCTCAAAAGACCTGGGAGGGCTGCTGACTACGTTAGTGATCCTCCCGTTCTCCCCCTGTAAATCATTTGACCACCGCATGATAGCAATAGGCCTCTCCTTCCACACACACATCACAAGAGGGCCGGGATACTTTAAATTCAATACCTCCCTGCTAAAACTCCAGTCTTTGGAGCAGTTGGTCAATGACTTCTGGGCTTATTGGACATCAACAAAACCCGATGATGGATCGATAGTTCAATGGTTCAACGATGGGGTGGCGCAACTAAGAGAGAGAGTCAAAAAAAAATTCATCCAGAAAGTAAGAGAGCGTAAAGCGGTCCTGGACAGACTGCTGCAGCAACTAGAGGAATGTGATTCACACCTCACTGGAAACCCCTTGGACCTCGAAACCTTCAACGCTCTCCAGCGAGCCAGAAGCCAGCTGCAGGAACACTTGGACGTCCAAGCAAAAAAATGGAGAATACAGGCTAAAATTAGGAAGGACACCTCAGACGGAACAATGTCTAAGACTTTCTTCAATAAGGCTAGAGCCAAATGTAGACAGTCCACGGTGCCCTCCCTCAAGCATCCGTTTAATGGTTCCCAACCGACAACAACAAACGCTTACAAAATAGTGGAGTATGCCTCTCTCTACTACACAAACTTGTTCACCTCACAAACTGCACGCCATCAACCACAGTCTCTTGCCCATGCACGAGACACATTGTTGGCCCCTCTCCCTTCCCTACTGTCCACCGCGTAAAGAAACAGCCTTGACGAACCTATGACCAACCATGAAATCCTTCAGGCACTACAAGGAATGGATGATGAGAAAACTCCAGGTTTGGATGCCTTTCCAAAAGAGTTTTGGCTTCACTTTTGGGAGACATTCCAAAAGGACTTCATGAGCTACATTAACGCGGTATTCCATGAAGAGACGTTTGGAGGTATGATGGGACAAGGGGTGACAACGCTGCTGTACAAAAAAAGGGACAAAGAGAACATTAGGAATTACCGCCCTATTACACTTTTGTCTGTCCTCTACAAGATCGTAGCTAAAGCGTGGGCAAACCGACTGTTACCCCTCCTCCCTCACCTCATCCACCCGGACCAATCGGGCTTCATGCCATACCGCAACATACAAGACAACATCTTGTTGGTTAACGAAACTATCCGCTATGCCACTAATGGTTAATGGAAGGCTAAGAATTCGGGGGGTTTCGTCGCGTCGCTACAAACAATGTTGTCGAAACTTTTGCGAACAAACTATGTAGGGTCATAATACAAACATCAAAAAAACAATCAGGCAAAAAAAAAAAAAAAAATCAAAATCAAGAGTACTATAAAACCCTTTTCGGAGTAGCTTTCGGAGTTCGTTAATTTTCTTTTTTAGTCTCGTATTTTTGCTAAGTTTTTTGTTACTGCTCCAAATACGGCGAAACTAAATGGAGATATGAAGATATACCCTAAAACACATATATAACAGGTAAAAAAAAAAATCGAGAAAAAAGTAAAAATTTAAGGAAATATGACAGTTTCGGTGAAAAAAAACGGAAGCGGCTATACTGTTCATCGATTTCAAAAAGACATATGATCATGTGGACTGGGACTTTCTTGACATGTGCCTAGTTAAAATGAACTTTGGCCTGCTCTTCTGCAAGTGGGTCAATACCTTACACAGAAACGTCACTACGAATATCACCCTCAATGGTCATCTTGCTCCCCCCTTTCGTCTTCAACGCTCGGTGAGACAAGACGACCCCATTGCGCCAATGCTGTTTGTGTTAGTCATGGAAGCACTCGCAGCCATGATCAGAAACAACCCAGACATCCACAAAATCCGAGTACCGGAATTTCCTGAACACCTAGCTCCGGTCACCTTACTCTTTGCCGATGATCTTACAGTTCTGTTCAGGGCAGACCACGATAGCTTTCGTGCGGTGGCTCAGACAATCCACCTGTTTGAAATTGCAGCGGACATGAAAGTCAATTGGGGAACAAAAATGGAAGGTTGGTGGTTAGACCCCCAGTGTGGACCTCCACCAACTGAACCTCAGGTAGCTTCGAAAAGTAAAGAATCGACAATAAAGGTGCTTGGAGTTAACATCATGGCGATGGGCCCGCCACGGCGCCACCTGATCACGGTGACGCACTAGTCGACCTGGTAATCAGAAAACTCTCTAAGTGGGATGGGAAACCAACCTCACTAGTAGGTAGAGTGCTTGTGATTAACAACGCCATCTTTGCATCTATATGGTGCAAAGTGGCATTCTGGCAACTCAACAGAAAACAGATCACCAAGTTGAAACAGGTGGCGACGGCGTATCTATGGAAGAATGACCATAATCACACCAATGCCATAAAAAGGGTAGCATGGGACACTATTGTGCAGCCCAGAACAAAGGGTGACCTAGGAATAATTGACCCAGAAGAAGAGATCAAGGCGTTGCTTTTCAAATTCTTGATCCGCCTTCTCTTGGGGAACAATATCCCGTGGGCCCCGTACGCCTGCATTCAGCTGCATTGCATTGCGCCCCCCTCTCACCCCCTCCGTCCAGTGCATCCACTGCAGTGGTTAACCAACAGGTGCTGGTCCTTGCCTGCGGGCCCAAGAAGGGTGGTCGAACACTCACCGGAAGGATGGGCAAAACAGGATCTCATAATCGATCCGTTATGGCATACAATGGTTAAACTGTCGAGAGAAAGAGGGCCACAACGCACCCCCACCCCTCAAATGGGAAGAAGTGGTCCGCCAACCGATTTTCGGCCACCTGGACATCATGGACGAGACAGGCAACACCTTTTCCCTCCAAGGGACCTCCAAATGGAGGCAGTGGGTCAGAAAAGGGGTGTACACAGTAGGCCACCTCTGGGACGGCCCGACAAGGAACTGGAAATCAGAGCAATCTTTGAAAAGCGTCACGGGCCACATAAAAAATATGGCCTCCGACATGAGGGAGATTCAGGAAGCCATACCTCTGGCCTGGATTCGCGCGCTTAAAATGGGTCCGAAGATACAACAACACGACTGGGTGGTGCTCACTCAATCTATGCCCATCCCTATGACAGTGTACGAGGTGCAGAGCACCAACAATGGGGACACAGAACTACAAGCCTACTGCCCGACTCTGCCTAGGGAACGCTGGTCAGCGATACACAGGCAAGAGGACATGGACACACACCGCCCAAAGTCCGAGCTTACCAGAATCAGAGTAGTGGGCGACGCAAAAGACAGCCGCTACCTCTACGAACCATCCACCCCCCTCTGTGACCTACCCTTCGACCCTGCAGAATGAAAATGGTCATGGGGAGGGTCCCAGTCGATGACCCTGTGGCAATACACTGTTAAGGATGGATATAGGATAGCCCGGAAACAAGTACCAGTGACACAACAAATCATCAATCGCTAGGAAAGAGACTCCCCACTGGAAAAGCGGGACTTCCAACACTTCAGGTGGACCGCGTTTGCACACATCATGCCGACCAATCATAGAGCACTGCAATGGCAGATTATACATAGATGCCTGCCCACTCCGGATTGGCTAACAACAAGAACAGATTTAGAGGCAAAAGGACAGATCTCCCCGCTATGCACGTACTGCGCCAGCTCCACACCGAGAAAAAGAGCTACCTTGGAACACTGTCTACT